AAAGAAAAAAAGAAAAAAAAAAAAATAAAGATAACTTTGGAAATTGCAAAACTCCTCGGCGAGTACAAAAAAATTAACACGCCATATTTTGCCTCCTTACCTATCCTAACCATACTTTAAAAACTTTTGCATTAAGAAACAATTTTTCATCAGACGCACAATTCAAAAACTTATTTCAGATCTATCCAAATTACGTGAATTACCCTGTGTAATATATATATATATATATATATATATATAATAATAATGTCCAGTGTATTGTCGATTTCGTCAGAATGGTGGACCGCGTGAAAGACAAGTTCGACTCGTACTCGCTGAAGACGTTCCCGGCGAAGAAGAAGTGCTTGAACGCTGTGTACAATATGGTCGCGTGGACGTACATAGATACACGCGATCTGTCCAGGATACAGGGCAGGAAACTTCGGAGAATAAACTTGAAACATCACCTGGGGATTCGAGTGGCGGAACTGCCACGCGACAGCGACATTGGCTGGATAAGAGCGTCGAACAGGAAGAGGGCTCTGAAGAATTACCGCAGGTAATTCGTCGTCTCTGTTCCGTTCTCTTCGATGATCCATCCGCAAGAAAAACAAAGAAAGAAAGAAAGAAAGAAAAAAAAAATCTAGGAGACTAGCCATGGCCTCGGAACCGCTGGAGCTGGCCTGGCTGTTCCACGAGCTCTCGAGATACCTGATCGACATCCGTCGTTACGACCTGGCCCGATTCTACATCAAAAAGGCTCGAGACATGGGACAGGAGGCGGGCAACGAACAGTGGGTACTGAACAGTCAACACCTGTTCATTCGGATCGAGATCAATCAGAATTATCGGAACGAGGCGAAGGAGGCGGCTCTCCTGGCATTGTCCATCTCCAAGAAGCTCGGCCTCCACTTCCTCGTCGACTTCTACAAGAGCGCGATCGAGGTGATCGACGACATGGACATGGAGAAGCTGTTGGCGTTCGACGCGATCGCGGCCAGGCAACAGCTGATACTGAACCTGATGCCGGACGACATGAAGGCCGAGGTGGACTTCCTTTGGAGGCGGATGGACGCTATCCCCGCCGATCGACGACTGTCCGT